AAGAAAGGGAAAGACGGATGTATAGCCACTGAAAGGAGAGATACATAGCTGCTGGAGAGAGCTAGGCAACCCAAGCACTAACAAAACTAGGTAGCACGGCTGGCGAGAGCTAAGCAGCGCGACTGTTGGGAATCAGACAAAGTAGCTGCTGATGGTTGGGCTTTACAGCTGCTGAGCTAGGTCGTGGCGATGCTGAAGTTCGAGCTGTGCGACTACTAAGAGCTGGGCGCTAAGACTAGCGGGGGTCGGTCAACATGAATGTGAGAGTTGATTAGCGAGACTTCCCGGGATTGGTCAACACGACTGCTGATGACCGCGCAACGCAGTTGCTGATGGCTATTTCGGAATGCTTCACGAGTAGTAGTAGTAATGTACTACTCTTCTCCCTCCTTATATATATATATATATATATATATATATATATATATATATATATATATATATATATACATATATATATATATGAAATTATCGAGTGATCCGGGCCGCGACGCGTATTCTGGTTGAGTGGGGCTTGCGGTGCGCAGTCTTTAAACAACTTATTTTGTCTTGCAAAGGTAGCCCATTTTATTTGGTGATGGATTCGCCCAATAAAATGCACATACTGATTTTTGTGAAGCCCAAAATGGAATTTATGGAACCCATTTACTAATTAATCAGCCGATTTGTTCGATTGTGGGAAAAAATGCTAACCCTTTGCTTTTTTCTCCTCTCCTTTTTATTTTTTCTTTTAGAAGGCCGAGTGGAGCACACCGAACACACCTTCCAAAATCAGATTGTGTTGAATGAAATTGCAATACTTGAGCGTTTGAATGGTTGATTGTCTAATTTATTATTGAAAAAACTAGGCCATTTAAATGATCCAGCCTAATAAAATAAAATCTCAAGCAGCCCATTTGTAATTCGTGAGCCTAAATCGTAATTCCTTTTATTTCTTCTGTTTTGCTTGGATATACCTAATTGTGGCCAAGAGTATCAAAGCAACAGTACCACCTGGGGCCCAAAAATTCCCAGCGGTTCCTTATATGTCCATCTCAGAGAAGAGGTCAAAAAGAAAAGATGCTGGCGACTGGAGGTTTATCAGCTCCTGGCAATGACTTTTTTTTTTATATAAATCATGGAAAGTAATAACAAGAAATGGAAAGTAATGACAAGAAATGAAAGTAATGAAAAGATATGGAAGTGATGAAATGAACTGGAAAGAATCGGAAACTAATGATATGAATATATTGCTCGAGCCATGAGGTCCCCGTAACGGGATATAGAGGAATCTATCGGGGTGGCGCCTTCCCTTCGCGAGATAGATGTCCTAATGGAAATGATGCCTTGGTGGATTGATTTGTTCTTTCCACTTTGGTAAAAACTTGGGGATATTGCTACGACCTAAGTATAAAAATGGTAACAGTTCACACCGGAATTAGCCCTTAATGAAAGAAGGAATGGAATGTGAAAAGAAATGACTTTTGAATTATGTTATGACTAATGAAATGTTTTTATATGGAACGGAATGTGGAAAAATGTTTATTTGGAATACATTTTCTCAAAGATGAAATGTTTTGATATGGAATAGAATGTGGAAAAATGTCTATTTGAAATATGTTTTACAAAGATGAAATGTTTTTGATATAGAACGGAATGTGGAAATGCCTATTTGAAATATGTTTTGCAAATATGAAATGTTTTTGATGAAAATGTGATAAATTTTTTGGGTCACAAACCCACGTAGCTCACGAGACATTATGGTCTTACGTATCTCTTTTCAATTCCATGTATCCCAGGTTGTACCTAAGAAGAAAAGAGGATAAAAAGAAGTTAGAAGTTAAGAGATAGACCAAAACAATCTAAGCAAGTTTAAGACTCAAAAGGTGAGTTTTTGGGGGTGTTGGGGCTGCTACGGGACACGAACCGCGTGGTCAGGCACGCGTCCCGTGCACAGACAGCAGAGTGCCCAGCTCGACCAAAAATCTGAACTTTAGTATTTTCCTCACAACTTTTGCATACAAACTCGAATTTACGCATGGTTTTCGCCTACATTCATATATTTACATATGGAATGAGTTAAAGTAATAAAAATTAGTAATATAAACTATGAGTGGTATTTTTTTCATTTGGATTGACCTATACTTATATGATATATAGGTTATATTTGAGAGTGTTGCTCTAAGGAAAGGAACTATAAGTGGACCAGCTATCCTTCTTGTGATTGAGGTAAGTACGTGTTGGCATTTTCCCATTTTAGGGTATGTGGAAAAATGATTTTTATGATAAAGAAAAACTAATGTTTGATATATGAAATGTTTTGACATGAAAGTTTCAAATGTTTTTGAAAAGGATATTTTGAAAGAATACCTTGAAGGCAATAATGTTTTTGAAAGCAAAGAATGTTTTGGAAGATCGAATGTTTTGAAAATGTGTTTGAAATGTTTTGAAATATAGATGCTTTAGTTTTGAAATAAGTTTTCACTAAGGTATATGATGCGACATCGACCTCCGGCGAGTCTTCTGGTCTTCTGCTGCGGCGGAGATCTGGACATCACAGTGCAAAGTCGTTAGAGCCGTCCTAGGTACTGTTTCCCAGGAGCGGACACCGACGATCAAGTTATATCAGCTAGAAGATCTGAAATGGCTCTCTTTAGCTAGAGAGGACCATCTTGGTGCTTGTGGTGGTGTATGGTGGTTGACGGCGGCGGGTGGCGGCTGAGCCACCCGGCCGGAGTGTAGTGTCGGCTGAGCCATGGGGGAAGAACCCTAGGGAAAGATCTTAGTGGTGGCTGAACCACTTGGGAAAGAGCACTCTTTCATGGAGGCACTATTCTATTTATAGTGGACAATTTGGTCAAGGGGAATTGGGTCAGTCCTTGGGTCAACCCAATTCAGGCCCAACTAGCAAGGAGCTGGGCAAGGCCGCCCGGAGGTGCCGGGCGGGGCTGGCGGGCGCGCACTAGGAAAGGAAGGCAGGAGAGCGCCAGGCGAGGGAGCGCCTGGCCGGGCCGGTAGGAGAGTCCCCAGCAGGACTGGCAAGGGAGTCCCCAGCAAGGTTGGCAAGGGAACGCCAGGCAAGGCTGGCAGGAGCGTGCCAGGCCAGGCTGGCACGCTAGAGCTGTTTGAGCTATGCTAGTGGACCATACATCATCAAGTCCCTCCAGTCTGGTGTTATTGGTACGCGGCCAATGACATCGGACTGGAACTAGTCATATAAATTGTGCGTCGTCAAGTCCCCCTAGTCTGATGCAATTGGGTTACTGACAATCGGATCGGACTAGATAAAGCTCCAATACATTAAATAATAGAGAGAACGACCGAACCTCGCCCACGAGAGTCGTGGGGTTGTGCGAAGAGCCAAGCATTGCTTATGTGGTTTGAGCTGGCTTGATACTCCTTCGTTGAGAGGAGTGCGAGTTGATCGGTGCGATGCAACGTAACGGTTGCTGGCAATGTTTTGCAGAGCGAGGCTGCTAAAGAGTGTTATGCGACTCTGATGTCGATAAAATGTCGGGTCGAGGTAGCTAAGAAGCGTAAGCTTGCTCTTCAGTCCCTAAGACTGTTATCCGACGTAGCCACAAACAGAATGTCACCGATAACCATCTACACAGTATTCTTTGCATAAGAACCAGTAACCGTCCTGAAGGTGTTTCCAAACTACAGTATACCTAACTGGATTCCCCCCAGTCTGATGTGGGTAGCGTAGGTAGTCGCGTCAGACTATGTTGTCAAACCAATAAACCGTAAGGTTGTTGACCATAATATAAGTGGAAGAGATTCCGAGAGCTGGGCGATTAGGTTGCTAGCGAGGGTCACGCAGCGAGAATATTGCCGATAGCCATACAATAGAATTGTTGAGGGATAGGCAGTGGGGCTATAGGTTGGGGTTGCATAGCAAGACCATTTCCGAGAGCCAGGAAACAGAGGTGTTGTGGGATACACGACGAGGCTACAGGTAGGGTTGCACAGCAAGACCATTTCCGAGAGCCAGGAAACAGAGGTGTTGTGGGGTCGTAGGTAGCAGGGCCGCGTTCGGGATGACCTTCTTGCTGGAGAGTATCCTCACTATAGCAGGATGTGATGTGGATAACACTTCATCGATCGTCCGAGCACAAGAGAACCGTGATGACTGTGAGATAGGAAACATCGAGATCATGGTGTTAGACGTGGAATAAACTTGTGATGTGCGACTTATGGTGCGCGACGATGCGTGACTTATGTTGCGTGACTTAGGAGAATAGCTCGGGCTTAGTAGCCAGCGAACATGGAGATGTCATGCGGGAAAGCATCGCGTGTAACATATCGGGTTTGGCTGCTAACGATCGTAGATAGATCACGCGAGAGAGCATCGCGTGGAATGGATCGGGCTTGGCTGCCAGCGATCGTAGATAAATCACGCGGGAGAGCATCGCGTGGAATGGATCGGGCTCGGTTGCCGGCGATCGTAGATAAATTACGCGGGAGAGCATCGCGTGGGATGGATCGGGCTTGGCTGCCAACGGTCGTAGATAAATCACGCGGGAGAGCATCGCGTGGGATGGATCGGGCTTGGCTACCAACGATCGTAGATTAATCATGTGGGAGAGCATCGCGTGGGATGGACCAGGCTTGGCTGCCAGCGATCGTAGATAAATCATGCAGGAGAACATCGCGTGGGATGGACCGGGCTTGGCTGCCAACGATCGTAGATAAATCACGCGGGAGAGCATCGCGCGGGATGGATCGGGCTTGGCTACCAACGATCGTAGATAAATCGCGCGGGAGAGCATCGCGTGGGATGGATCGGGCTTGGCTGCCAACGATCGTAGATAAATCACGCGGGAGAGCAGCGCGTGGGATGGACCGAGCTTGGCTGCCAGCGATCGTAGATAAATCACGCGGGAGAGCATCGCGTGGGATGTACCGGGCTTGGCTGCCAACGCTCGTAGATAAATCACGCGGGAGAGCATCGCGTGGGATGGATCGGGCTTTGATGCCAACGATCGTAGATAAATCACGCGGGAGAGCATTGCGTGGAATCATATAGCCAAAGGTTGCAAGCCTTTTAGCCTTGTCGGCGGAGCATGCTGTTGTAGTGGAGCCGGGATGGGGAGCCAGGCGACTCGAGGCGAGGGTGCTGAACCTCGCATACGGAGCTTGTCGCAATAATAGAGTCGGGCTGAGAAGCCAAACGACTCAAGACAAGGATGCTTAAGCTTGCAGGCAGAGCTTGCCGAAATAATGGAGTCGGGCTGAGAAGCCAGGTGACTCGAGGCAAGGATACTGAACCTTGCAGGCGGAGCTTGCCGCAATAATGGAGTCGGGTTGAGAAGCCAGGCGACTCGAGGCAAGGATACTAAACCTCGCATGCGGAGCTTGCCGCTATAATAGAGTCGTGCCGAGAAGCCAGACGACTCGAGGCGAGGGTACTGAACCTCGCATGCGGAGCTTGCCGCTATAATGGAATCGGGCTGAGAAGCCACGCGACTCGAGGCGAGGGTATTGAACCTCGCATGCGGAGCTTGCCGCTATAATGGAGTCGGGTTGAGAAGCCATGCGACTCGAGGCGAGGGTACTGAACCTCGCATGCTTGGGCGTAGCACCCCATAATCTATGCGTCTAGATCGTGTGATCATTTTGGGTTAAAGTGGAATGGTACCTGACGCTTTGTTGCATCGCTAGTCGTACTAATAATTGATGCCTCAGCGTCTTGACTGTTTGCGGAGAGCTATGTGGCGGTGCTACATAGATGTGACAACCCGAAATTTTCATTTGGATAAACTCTATAGTCAAGCACTACAGATAGTAGCCAAATTCATTTCAGTACGTTTTTGGCCGGTTTTCAGTCCGTTTGGGTGTTTTATTTTATATTCGTCAAACGAACAAATAAAAGGAAGTATACCTTAGAGGTTGTCGTACATCACTTAAGTCTCAAAACTCCAAGACTTTGGAGTTTACGGCCCCAAACATGGAGTTTACGGCCGTAAACTCTAAAGAGTATAAATATGACACTTGGTCATTTTTGGCTCATTTTTCACTCCCTAGCTCAAGAACACCCCCAATTCTCTCTCAAGTATCATATCACATTTCATCCAATCTTCCAAAAATGTAAGTGTTTCTTCCCTAGATTTGTTAATATAACACTCTATCTAGTGTTTATACACGATTTCATCCATGAAATCTTGCCTTTTTCATAGATCTTCAAGTGTTCTTCAAAACACCAAGAACACACACTAGTGTTCTTGTCCCCTAAACACTCTTACAAGCTTCCTATAAGTAAGTACACTCCTCCTATCTAGTTGTTTGCTTAGTATACTTGTTAAAACATGGAAGAACACCAAGAAAACCTCAAGAACACATGGGTTTACGGTCAAGGGATATCCTTGAACCGTAAACACCATCTAGTGGTGTTTAAGTGCCACTAACACCATCTAGGGCTTGGATATTGGACTAGAACCTTGCATGCATGAGCTAGAAACACCAAAACACGAAATGGTTGGGGTAACCATGAGTTTACGGCCGTAAACTCATGGGTTTACGACCATAAACACATGTGTTTACGGCCGTAAACTCCCAAGGATGGTCCAAGGACCGTAAACTCCAATGATGAGCCATTTTGATCCCTAGTCCCTTCATAAGCCTTTGGTACAAACCTAGAACACTTCCTTGATGGGTATAAGACCTTAAAATACCCAATGATGCCAATTACCATGAGTTTACGGCAGTAAACTCATGGGGGAAATGGCCAAAAACCGTAAAATCATGTTTTGTTGCCAAATGAGAAGTAAACTCCAATGTGAGGCCATATTCTCCTTAGATGCAACCCTTTAGCACTCCTAGCACTTGAAGCAAAGTGTTATCCATGTATTAGGGTGTCTTAACTTATTTAATTAGTTGTTAAAGGACTAATTAGATGCTTATATGTGTCATTATATGTTACGTAGGATTCGTGTGTGTGTTCAAGTCCTCACTTGACACTTAGCATCCTATACCATCCGTTCATCCGAATCACCCACTACAGGTGAGTTCATACCCCTTAATCAACCTTTGAAATAATTTTAAATGCTTTTATGGGGGGGAATACAAGTTGAACTGCTAAGTTATTATATCAATCACATGTGAGTAATAACTGTCAAGTAAATAGATTTTTGCATGTTAAACTGTTTTATTCAGCTAAAGGTTTTCAATTCTCGTTTTCAAATCTCTTTTAAAACACTAAAATCTCTTTTTGAATTACTAAGCTTTTCTCAAAGTCTTTTAAACTTATATTCTTGATAGATTCAGGTCTATATAGATATAGTTATATAAGTAGGGTTTGAAGGACTTAGGACTGATAGCCCGCTTTATTTGTTGTTCCTTGTTTGATTGTGGACTTAGAGCATCCGGTTATTTGTCCAAGTGTCGTTGAAGTCCTAGTTATATATTATATATATATATATATATATATATATATATATATATATATCTATATATATATATATATATATATATATATATATATCTGGTTAGATATTAAAACTCTCACTTCAGTTCAATACCCTTGGGTAGCAAAGGTACCTAGATAACCTCTCAAGTAAACTATAATAGGTATAGTTTAGAAACCAACCATAACTTTCATGAAGGAGAACTTAGCTATATCAATATTCTAAAAACTTATACTTTTAATAAATAGAAAGGTTTATAAAAATCAAAACACTAGATACATCCTCATGACGCAGATTTCACCGTTGTCAAGTTGGTAACCAGAGTCTCCTGGAGGGAGAGCGGGTATTGTGTGTATAGATCTATACGGGACAGACCATCCCACATCCTGACTGCTAGCTACAGTCCCGGCCGACCAAGCCAAGGGGTGACAAATGTCACATTCATTTCCATGCCAGCAGGTCGTCGTGTTTACCCTCGTCAATCAGTATGGTTACGAGTATCTTTTCACTTACCATATAATTCATGGCTTTAAGGTAATAAGTATTATCACGGTATTTTCTACATATAAAACCATCATAATATACTTTCCTAGTTATACACTAGGCTACATTTTAAACCTTTAAACTAACCTACTTAGGATTAAAGGCTACTTTAGACTCTCTGAGGCGTATTGTTCATTTAATACCACCTGGAGTCTGTATTTCATTCATTTAGACTCTCCGAGGTGTATTGTCCATCAAATACTATCCAGAGTCTGCATTTTTATTACCTTATAGGCAGCAAAGTCATTGCTGAAGTAAAGTATTATCTTCCCTGTTACATGTAATTGTGGCTTTCCCACATACTCATTAATGTAAAACTATATTTTGATAATGATAGTAACATTAGGGAAAAATGCTCTTTAAACACAAAACAGTTGGGTCTTGGTAGAAGACTGCTTTTATTAGATAAACTCATTTCTTTAAACTCAAAACAGTCTGGTCTTGGTAGAAGACTACTGTTAATAAGAAAATATAGGATTTTCGGGAAGGTATTCAAATACGCTATAAAATTTTATCACCATCACCTAATGAGATCATTTTGAGGAAAAACATGTATTTTTATCAATGTCATTAAAATACTTATGAACTCACCAGCATTAAAATGCTGATACTCTCTTTCAAAATAACTTGTATTCTCAGGTCGTCAGTAGACAGGTACACTCCGGGAGCTTTTGTGAAGACAGCCTTGTACCGAGCTGCATTTTATGTTATTCTCTATATCTACTTTTGAAGTTGCTGCTAAATGTAACCTATGTAAAACTATTACTATTAATGCAATGGTTGTTGTACTTTGATTACTATACTGCATGTGTTGTGATACTTGACATGACGTCCTCCACCCAGAACGTTTCCGCCGTTCCGGTTTTGGGGTGTGACAGATTGGTATCAGAGCATTGTTTATAGTGAGCTCAGTATATCAAATCATAAAAGATATACAACCTATAAATACAATGGGATAAAAACACTCTGACCAAGAATTATACTTTAAAATATAACCATATTTTACAAAAGTATAAGAACACCCAGAATATAAAAACCCGAACAAGTATCACAAGAAGAATAAGAATAAAAGTCTTTGGATGTTGACCATTACCGTCAAACCTGGGCAGTTATGTAATCGTAAGCTGGAATAAATATAACCTGATCAACTATATTTATTCGAGATGCGACTAACGTGTGTTTGGGAGTGATGGTGGTGTTGCAATGAATCTGAAACTTACCATATAGGAATGCTAGAGCCAAACATAAAGTTTAAAATACTATAGGAGTATTTTATGATACTAAAAGACTAACAATAAACCCAAAAGCATGTTCAGAAGTTTTAGAATCAAGCATGTAATTAAAATACTATAGGGGTATTTTAGGAACCATAGATAACCTTGCGTGAAAACTAAAAAGATCCTTACAGATTGGTCTATAATTACAGAGTGTATGCTCCCAAGGTTATATATAGTTAGGATCTCATAGGCTGAGAATGTGTGGTTTCGCTCTACTTCCTTTTCCTTGTTTGGATGTGGATATAGAGTAGTATCACATATTCGAAGGCCTATTAGATCTAAGTTATATATGATTTGTGTACACTATGTAATTGTAGCAAGACTCGGTATGGATCACCCAGTAAAATGTTTGAATAATCTCGTAAGATTCTTTAGACATTCCCATTCTCGCATAAACCCCTTTAGAGAACCTTATCCACTTCAGTAACCGACAGAGGAGTTGATAAAGACCCAGAAGAGGTTCATTAAGGAGATTCCCAAGTAGGAAATAATTGAACAGTGATGAGACTATTGAAATCGCCCTGTGCCTATACCCTTTTAGGGACATCGGTGGGAAATTCGCCTGAACTTCCGAGATTCCAGTCACCCATTATGAAGTGATGACGATCAGAGTCAGAATCGGAAGTAAGACGGAGGGGAAATTCAATATGTCTACAAGGGAAGAGAACCCTATATAAGTACCCGAAGAAAACCAACGCTTGTTTCAACCAAGGATAAAAGGTGGACAGCGGGAGCCAATGCATGGAACCCGAGAAGTGTTTTTACCTCCTTAACGTCACGCTAATAACCCATAAAATAATACAACTTAGTGAGTTAGTGATTACACTACTCACACTATGTGTTAGGCAAATCGTCTTTCCTGTCGCGACAAGGATAAATAAATCGGATCGCAAAATCTCGATTGAGAGTGTTTAACTCTAAACTTTCATGAGCCTTTTCTTGTGTAATCCTCGTTCCGGAATTCTTTCAAATCTTTTCAAAGCCGGAGAGTGAACCTCTCCAGTATAAAGATAACTTAGTTGGAACGACATCCGATTTATGGCTTTCCGATACCCTTACTTCTACCTTGTTACCAGGACTGCATCATAGGGATGTAGGTCGACACTTAGAGAACCATAACTCAAA